TAATGTGAGGGACAGAGCTGCCCCCATGAAGACTGGGCGCCCCCTAATTTTATCCATACGTTCTGATTCATAGTGACCACATCTATACAGTGCTTCTGAGATGGTCCATTTCTCCGGAAGCAGACAGAGTCACCTTTTGCCCTGGTTAGCATCCCATTGCCTAAAGTGGAGCTTAGAGAGGAGAGCAAATGCCATACCGCCATGGGCTGTACTCTCGGTTAGGGGTGAGGAACCCTTCTTTCTGGCAAGAGCCACTTGGATACTTACAACATCATTGGCAGACCATACTTGTCAAGCATTTAATTAACCCAGCCCTAATGTGATGGTCAGGACAGCTTCTCTTTGTTGAGGTGTGTGATGTTAGCAGATATCAATGACTTTATGGGCCTTATAGGGCCTGTGAGTGACTATTACCTAGCCCTGTTATAGGGCAAATTAGTAGGTGAGTCGCAGAATTCTCACTAGGCAGGAAACGGAACCCAGTGTTTGATGCCAACCCAGGATATCTCTTGTACAACCACTCCCCATCTGTCACTGCAGGGTTGCATGTTGCTATGATGCTTAACAGTTTTCAGCAGAACTTCCAGACTAAGATGTAGTAGGAAGAAATGAGTATCAACTTATGAACATCATCCAGTGTAAATCCTATAGCTCACAAAGTTCTGGTCTACCACCGATCGTTTCTACATAAAAGCAGAATGTGGCTGATGAATCAGTCCCCCAAGACTACCTAACGGTGAATGAAGTTATAACTCAGGATTCCCAATGAGAAGGTCAGAAACACAACACAGACTCGAACTTGAGCCTGGCCGTGTCTTCACTGTGCTAGTGAGTTAAGCTTGGCATTCACGTTTTCTGTACCTCACCTACCTTATTTGTGAAATTAAGATGACGATGCTGCCAACGAATGAAGGGAGCCTAGTGCTTTGCACTCAGCAGTGTCTGGAAATGCTAAAATAGTAAATCTAGCTATTACTCATAACATGGAATCCTTTATTTTTAAAAATAAATGAAAACACTAGGCTTTGGGAGAGGGAAAGTGAGAGAAATAAATAGGAAAACCCAGTTCTTCTGATATTTCTGTAGGCCTTATTCTTCAAGGTCTCGCCTGAAAACCTATTACCCACACATCTCAGGCTGGGAGGATTTTGAATACTGGGCATCAAAATCCTCCCAGCCACTTGTTTCCTACCATGTAACCAGTGCCTGAATCCAAAGTAGAGGTTTGGGTGGTGATAATGCTGGAAACTGTGGGAGGACACGAACTTAGGGAAACAGGATGAACAGGCGGCTGTGGGGAACACTTTTACTTGTTGACAGTATGGGAAGAGTGTGAAGTTGGTCCCCGAAAAACTAGGACAGTCTGTCTCCAGGTCAGAATGAGAATCTGCAGCGTGCTGCATCGAGTGCTGGAGGGGACAGGGAGACTCCAAAAGCAACCAGATGTCAGGGGTGCATTGCCTTTGGGAGAGGATGATTTCAGGGACGTGTGTCGGCAGAATCCAGATTGTAAAGTTGAAATGTAAGTGATGGCAATGAACTGGAAATGCAGGGAGCTGTGGGGCTGTGGACGTCTCTTCCAAGAAATCCCTGGTGATGGTAAACAGGAGGGATAATTACTTTTTTAAGGTTGCATTGTTGTTATTATTTGATGTACAGATGGCGGCCTTATATACAGATTTAGCGCCATATGCAAAAGTTTGCTTTCTACTACTTTGCTCTTAAGAAAGACCTGCATCAATACCTGTGTTTACGGATGGACAGAAATCCAGAGGAGTTGAGAGCCCCCTTTAGCCACACTCTTGTGTGAAAGGCTGAACCCTTGGAGCTCAGTGGTCTCTACCTACGAAGGTGTGACTACACCGTGTCTCCTCTTGGTGTCTGCTCTCTGCTCTCACTACTGATCTCTTGAGCAGGTTTTGAGAAACAAATGAAGAAAAGGTATCATCTTTCATCTTTACTCTCTGCATACCCGATGGCACTCCCTTCTTTTTTCGTTTTAGATAGTATTTCTCTCTGAGTTAGCATAAATCCAATTTCTTAAGCCTCTGCTCCATGATTTTTAATGCGTATTGTTCAGAGAATAGAACAGTTACAGCCCGGTGGGTGTGGGGAGTACTCAGCAGAGTGGGCGGAACGCCAACGTGTGTCCAATGAAGGAAGAAGTGAATGAACTCCCTAAAGTGAAAACACACTGCTTTCTGCTCTTCCCAACAGTCTTCTTGTAAAACATGTATGTTTTTGAGGCGTAATAACTGGCTTTGAGAGTTTTACGATAATTAATTTTTTTGGAGTGTGGGTGAGTTGGCAAGTGATCACATTGGTTCTATTTTGTTGTGAATAAATAACATGTCAACGTTTTATGCTGTTTCAAAAACATTATTTAGAATAAAACTTCCTTTGAAGCCACAATAGTGTCTTACTCAAAATATTTATTTAGGCCATATTGTTTAAATACATATAATTCCCTTAAGGAACCGTTGTAGTCTGTGTAAATGTGAATTTAAAACAAAATAGACCTTCTGGAATTCATAGAAATACAAAATTGATATTCCAGTTCTTAAATGTTTATATACAAAAGGAGTTGAGGTGTTCCAATGTTTGGATGTTTAGAGTAGAATTTGTAAAAAGGAGTGATCTGAAAGCCATCATTTCCAAGTATACCGGATGCATCATGTTGTTTAGGAAGAGGTAAATATTAGAATATAAACTACTTTGTAGAGTAGGTGAATGAATGTTTCAACCAGAGAACAAATAAATACACATAAAACAAAGCACATCTGTAGTCTCAATTTCTTCTGGTCTTTGAATATAGCTTTGATTAAAGTTGGTGGGATTATGTTTTAAGTACAGTATAAAATCAGGCGATTTGTGTAACATTTGATATTATCACATGAATGATTTAAAGTTTGCCTATATTTTATGTTTTTGTGAAAATATGATTTTTGAAAGGTCATCTCTCCTATAGTTATACTTTGCTTTTGATAAAGCGGGTGGTCTTCTGTTTGCATTCCCAAAAGCCTTTATTATTGTACAGTCAATGTCAGCACAGTTACCATATATATATTTGAATATGTTAGTCATTATTTTAAAAATGCGTGTACTCGGATAAAGTAAATCTGCATGGATGTTAAAGTTTATAAAGCACCTCATCGTTCAATAGAAACATTGTTTGCTCAACTTGTTTGTGTCATAGTCCACTTAAATTAAGAATTCATTAAGAAATTAATGGGCCCTTTATTTAAAGAACTGATTACCTGAGAAGATCTGATATATTGCTCAGTCAATAAACTATTACAATGGAAATAATAACTTTTGGAAGACCTATTTCTTCTTATCATCTCCATATACTTATTATTCTTGCTGTAGTCAGCATTCCTTATCTCATTATGAATCCCTTTAATCACTTAGAGATACAGGAACGTTTTGCATAATTATACTTATGACATTGGAAGGAGAGACCCTGAACCATTAGGCAGTTGATACAGTTGAGTGTTTCCCTAGAAGTAATAGAAGAACAAATTAGGGAAGGGGGCGAAAAACAAAAGATATAGTAGTGAGACTGAGAACACCAGAAGTTGAATAGGGACTCAAATTTAGACTTAATGAACGGCAAAGAACGCTCCTTGGCCTGATTCAAATGATAGGGAACAGTAAGAGCCTCTCTAGCCCATTCCCTTAGGTGACGGACATTGGCCCAAACTCTTCTCAAAATCTCAAGTTCTGTCCTTAGGGTGGTGATGAAAAATACAAGGGGGTCCAGGAACAAGGGCATCTGGGCGTGTGTGACGTTGGCTTTCCGGCATAGATCTACAGGTCAGGTGCCACCTAGCTCCTAATCCCCAATTCGACAATTGTTGGTTGCACCCACATCTGTATGGAGATCTTTTCCTGGCAGTTCAAGGAGTTACAGTAGATTGTTAATTTGTCAATGATCGGACTAAGACCCTCCGTCTTCAGAATTTCCATGCAAATGAGAACTAAATGCATGAAATGAATTATTAACTACAGCCTCAGAGTGGAGGTCAGCCTTAGCACAATTGTGAAGCATAGATTTTCATACATAAAAAGTTATACTACATTTATGCTAATTTTCTGAGAATTCACCTTATAAACTAAGTGAGGTAATTTTTACAGGACTTGTAAAGATTTTTAGTGTGGTTTTCCTCCCCACCCCTCCAATTTTTCTTTTTAAATGCAGTTGTACTCTTCCAGCCAGAAAATGTGAACATCAATGCCTTTTCTGCCCCACATAAGATGCAAAAAGCGAAACTTACATTGATTTTCATGTATCACTCTTCAAATAAAAGGAAGATAGTTTTTGTACTTTTGCAAATAGAATTAGATAGTGAGGGGGAAAACCCCAAAGACATGGAAAATACCAATAAGTAACAATAGTCTGGGTCTTTGCACCAATGGAGCGGCCTTTCCCAGTACTTCAGAAAAGATAAACACATTAGTTCAATGAAATCCAGGGGAAGGAAAATTATATTCTAACATGACATTTGTAGGCCACATTTTTCGTTTGCAGAATGCTTTCACAAGCACTTCACTTGAACATTGCATTAGAATACATGCTTGGGGGGGCGGGGTGTCGCATAACGCCAAGTGGATAAACTTAAATGGGCAATGTGTATCAGCAGCAATGTGTTTTTGTTTTTCTCAGCTGCCTGGTGCTACTTGAATCCAGCATCCTATAGACCGTGGATCCTTTCTTCTTGTTCCGCTGGGTCTGCATTTCTAATTGAACACTTACGTAGAAATGACATAAAAAAGTATACTAGTAAATGGATTTTGTTGCTGTGTGTGTGTGTGAGAGAGAGAGAGAGAGAGTGTGTGTTTAGATCACAGACATTTATTTATAAAAGTCTCCAGGCTTGCCCAAACGTATAGCTTCCAAAAATGGAAGCGGGTATCGTTTATTGAAATGGTGGAGAAAAAACCCCTATAAAGTCCACTGGGCTTGATGCTGACCTTGTGTCTCCTGCTCTGTTTTCCAGGCCATCCGCTGCACGCTGGTCAACTGCACGTGCGAATGTTTTCAGCCGGGGAAGATTAACCTGAGGACTTGCGATCAATGTAAACATGGCTGGGTGGCACACGGTAAGGAGTCTGGGCTTTTCTTCCCACCCTTGTTCTATCCCCGTGAATGCACATGTTGTTTTAGAGCAGTCACTGGCCTGGAATCGAGAGGGGTCAGCTGTGCTCCAAGTTCTGGATCACATTCAGCCTGTGGCTTTCAAAGAGCATATTCTGGCCTCTAAGAAGTACTGCTGGGGAGCTGGGCTCAGCACTAGGGTGAGATGTTTATAGGCCGCCAGGCCATCGGGGCTCCTACAGAAGGGAGCGGCAGCCAGCACCAGGCCTGATGGAAACTCAAACACACCACAGTTGGCCTTTCAGAGCCTGGACCTCAGAGGGAAACTGGCAAATCCTCTTTGCTTAGGAGAACTCCTGGATGACTGCTCACCCTTGTCCATGTGCCTTCGAGGGGGACTTTCCCTTCCAGATGTGAAGTTTCGTATGGTCTCAGGTGGGAGAGTGAGTGAAGGGGAACATTATTTGGCCAATATCTGACAAAATAATCTATAAATCCCCCTTTCATCAGACATGGGGGTTGGGATTGGATGGTGACGGATGAGGGTGGAGGTGACCCTCCCGAGACTGGGAGTGTGTTGAGACGTTTTGTCCCATGATCCGGGAGTGGACCTTGATTAGATTCTTACGTATGGTTTAAGTTTATTCCGTTCAGGGAAATGTAGACTTGGGAATAAACAGACATTATCTTCACCTCTCAGAGCCTTTTTCTTTACTTCCTAGACTGTGGAATTTAAAAATATAGGTAATGTTTTTAAAAGAAGCCCTGGCTGGAGAGTTTTTGACAGCCTGGGGGTATTGGCTCTTAAGTGGACATATTCTTCATTCCCAAGGTTTGCCAAATATCCAGTGGGTTGCGTTTTATAAATGTCATGTTATTCTAGCAAGACCTGAGGTAACAACACAAGGCAGGCCCTTGAAATGCTTTTAACTTATCGTGTATCTTGCTTGTTAGGAGATGTGGGTTGGAGTCCCAGGGACATTTCGGCCCTGTGTCCTTCAGGAAACAGGACAGTTACAGTAATAGGTGGGGAACACACAGGAAAGTGAGGTTTTACAAACCTACCTACAACTTATTAACTCCTCAGTGCCCCTGAGGGTGGAACACTGTCCTGTACCAAAAAGGCCCCTAGACCAGTCTTGAGCAAGCACTGAGCTGTTTTTACTTCTGTGGTATGTTAATGTATGTTAATGTACTCATTGATGTAATTTCTTCATACACACCCCTCTTCCTCTGAGTAGGTACTGGTTCTTCTAGATACTAGGGACAGAGCAAATGCCCCAACCCTGTGTAGTCGCACATAATGTTACTAGAGAGTTAGTATTAGCATAGATTGTTCGGGAAACAAATTCTTTTTCTGCCATTTATATGATGTGATAACATCTCGGAAGTGTAGTTTGTTTGTTTGTTTGTTTTTAAAATTTTCTGTTTTGAGTCTGCTAAATAGCATTTTCAATTTTGACCTTGCAGGGTTATTATAAAAAATTTAAAGATAAAACTTCTGAGGACTTTAAGTATACATGTTAAAAATAACCAACACAACACAGATGGGCAAAAAGGTTAGCCAGTAATTAAACAAAGGACTTTTCATTTATTTACTCATATTTTCCAAAGCCATCCTATATCCCCACCACCCGTCTATCACAGTAGCCTTGTGAGTATAAAAGTTTACTGTGTCACTCAGAGTTTGTTTCCAGCCAACTTCCATGTGCATATTACATTAGTGCAGTAATGGGGCGGGGTGGGGAGAGCAGTATTTCTTCCTTCCTGAACAACATAAATTATTCCTAGTCAATGGCTACTATTTCTAAGCTTGCTGAAGGATGTACTGTTGACCCACTTTGAGCAAGAGATTTCTGTTTTACTAGACTTGTGTTTTTCCTACTGAACCTTTAGAAATGCTTATGTTTCTGGGATATTCATGGTGGGGTTTCTTAGATGAACAGAATCCAATTCTTCTCCCCTCTTGCCATCACCCCCCCCCGCCCCCAATTGGAGCCTATCTGCACACAGCTCAAAATGCACGCACCTACAGGTATGCAAATCCCCCTCTTCCCCATTCATTAGGGCCTATATGGCCGCCCAGGGCTGGCTTTTAGCCTTGGAGTTTGGCAGTGTGTTGAGAGCACCTACCCTTTTAGCCCCCAGCATTTCAACTAATTGCTTCATTCCCTCCCCTTGTACAGAAACCCTGAAATCATGTCTCCAATTATTTCTTCTCAGAGGGGAAACAAGCCGTCTTCTTGGCTGCCACACAAATTACAATGTCTTATGTGTGGGGCAAGGAGGAAGTGACTTTTTTTTTTTTTTTTGGCGTGTAATTTTTCTCTGAAAGTAGATGGAAAGTATCCACAAGACTAGCAGGATATATTTCACTGAATTATCTCAGAGTAGCTTGAAGCACACCTTACCTCTTACAGTGGTTTAAAAACGTAATACCTGCTACTAAAAAATATTCACATGTCCAGTTCAGGTGTTTTTAAAAAATGAGTTTTTAATGTAAAAGCGTCTTTAAAATGTTTGTTTTCTTTTGAATAAACGGCATCATGTGTCTCCTTTGTTGTAACATTGCTTCCTAAGATTTCAAGTTCATGGGTTTTTATATCTCAAATATATTTCATCAATATAAAATAATGAAAATAAACCAAAACCTACAGCCATGGTTGTATAGGACGAAGAAGAAGCATCGAGTTTCCGAGATTAAAATGTTTCCTGTTATCCTCATCTTTATCCTGAGGAGCGCCTGGTGGGTTAGAAGCAGCTGGTGGGTTCAAACCACAGACCTTTTCATTAGCAACCTAATACCCTACTGTGCCCCCCAGAGCTCCTCATTTAGGAATTACACACATTACTTCATATGTGTTGTCCGCATGTGTGTAAGAATGTCCACCACTTGTCAATTTGTTATGGTATAGTGGTGGCTTCTGTGCTGTGATGTTAGAAGCCATGTAACCGCTCCTTCATCTGCCATCTCCTGAGACACATACCTGTCTCAACGGTGGTGGACAGGTTTCAACACAGCGTCTAGTCAAAGAGAATAGTAAGTGGGGCCTAGTGATGGATCTGCTTCTGAAAAAACATGGCCAGTGAAAACCTTAGGCATAGCAGCAGCACCTTGTCTGATACGAGTTGTTCAAGTTGAGTGGCTCAGGATGGGTCAGAATAGATGGGTGAACACAGTGCCTGCAACAGTGAGCCCAAACAGCAGCAACTGACACGGTGGGGCGGGACTGGGTGGGTTCCTTCTGCTGTACATAGGGCCACTATCTATGAGTTGGAATTAACACCTAACAACAGTGTGTGTGTGTTTACATACATACACCACACATCACAGTTTTACAGGCTGCTTCTCAAGCCTCCTTGAATTACTGGCATTTGTTGCCTTCGAAAATGTTGACAAAAATGTTTTTAAAATAAAATAGAATGACTATTTTATTTCACACATTTGTCACAACATCTAGATTTCGAAATTGCTCACTGGGACATATTATTTAGGTACTTCCTTGAAATCTTTAGTGTCATTGAATTAGCGGGGAGGGCAGGGTAATTCGTTGAATACCAATAGATATTTCCCACAGAGTAAAGGCATGCTGCCCCGGACACCCTGCACCCCCTCCTTAGGTTAATGAATGTTAGCTCTTTCACTTTAATATTGAAAGAATGCTTTTTAAAATTTAATTTAATGTAAGACCAACTGTTTTTTGTTTTCTGTTTTCTTGTATGGATGGCCATGTTGTGTAGTCCAAACTTAGTCCAGAGTTGCCAATTTTTTACTTTCTCATATTTCTGTTCAGAGCCTTTGATAGTGGCATCCAGAAACTGCCCTTAATTCACACAGTTGTATTTTTTTCCATCTCTATTTCTCTGATCTTTTCTGTGCTTTTTTCCTTTAAACATAAAAGCAGTCTGAGTGAGTCTTAAAAGAGGGAAAAAATATTTCCTACAAATTCAGTTACTCTGTTTTCAGGGGCCAAATCAAGACATCAGCATACGTTCAAGTTCACCATTGGGCTCTGTGTGTGGTCACATAAATGTCTGTGTTGGAAGAAATTTCATTTTGTTGAGTTTTGAGGAGTGCAAGCCCCCGGCCCCCACCGCCGCCACCCCAGTATATAAATGGCAGTTTTACCATTCAGAGAACTGAGGCTTTCACCAAGAGTTTTTCATCATAAAAACTGGCAGGTATTCCCAATATCCATTTAGCAATGGGCCGGGATGGATGGGAGGAAGAGTATTTCCTATTCATCCTTCTTGGAGAATCCCAGCTTACAATGAAAATATTACCAGTAAAAATGTGTTGCCTTGTGACAAACGGGGGTGGGTTGTAAAGCTTGAGAGCCCCTGTACTAAACCATTTTTATTATTGATTATTTTCAAATTAACTTTAACTTTCTTAGAGCAGGTGAAAATTTTATTTCTAGACCATTGAATTAAGTTAAATAAATGGCTTTAGGAATCATTTACTGACGACAGCCCAAGACAACTGGAAAATTACCGTTTTTCTTATATTTTATTTCTGTATTTGACAAAAAGGTGGGTGAATATTCAAAAGGTAATTTATTTTCCTTATGTAGATCAATTATTTCCACATCTTAAAACTACATTAACAACAAATATTTCTATGGCCTTGGGTATGCACATGTGAGCATTTGGCAAGGATAAGAGACCAATGAATACAAGCATATTAAAAAATCAAACGTGTCATTAAGTCAATTCCAACTTATAGCAACCCTATAGGACGGGGTAGAACTGCCCTGTGGGTTTCACAAGACTATAATCTCCATAGGAACAGACAGCCTCATCTTTGTACTGTCAAGTAGCTGGTGGGTTGGAACTGCTGACATTTTGGTTAGCAGCCCACTGTATGACCTACTATGCCACCACATAGTTTAAGTGAAACTCACAACAGTTTTCTTGGTGCAAATAATAATCATTATGAAATGCTGTGACTTTAAAACAGAAGGATAGGCCCTATCAACAAACTATATGAAGGCCTGAATTTCAT